GTTAAGTAGGTGGAAGGCAAAAGGAAGGGAAGAAAGGAAGTCTGGTGTGTAGGCTAAACAGAGATGCCCCAAATCCTCAGCAGATTGTGAGCTTCATCAGGAAAGGGACTGGATCTACCTTGCTCACCTGGTATACAATAGGTGCTTAATAAATACTTGTTGAATGAACAAATGAATGCTATTCTTGTTCTCATCTCTCAGTGTACTCCCATGAAGAATGAAACTATGTTGCCTAGAGCAGCGGTTCTCAACCTGTGGGTCGTGACCCCTTTGGGGGTCGAACGACCCTTTCACAGGAGTCGCCTAAGACCAGCGGAAAACACATATATAATTACATATTGTTTTTGTGATTAATCACTATGCTTTAATTATGTTCAATTTGTAACAATGAAAATACATCCTGCATATCAGATACTTACATTACGATTCGTAACAGTAGCAACATTCCAGTTATGAAGTAGCAACGAAAATAATTTTATGCTTGGGGGTCACCACAACACGAGGAACTGTATTAAAGGGTCGCGGCATTAGGAAGGTTGAGAACCACTGGCCTAGAGCATCATTTTGGTTTGCTGAAAGGCAACACATAAAGATATCATGGAGAATTTGAAAAGTACAGGGTAAGATGTGAAGCTGAAATAAAGGAAGATAGGCAGCTGTCAGGGGTCAGAGCAGGCAAACCCTGTTTAGAACTTGGACCTCTGACTGCGCAAGTCCTCTGGACGCTGAGTCAATATGGGATAACCTGTGGGAGTGAACGGGAGGGTTTTACAGTCCATTAACCTGGGAAATAAAACAATAACACACTGGACTGTGTGTGGTTAGATTTTACGGACTCTTCGGTGATTGTAGTTACCTGAATTTATGTCCCTTACTGCTGTTCCATTTAGATCCCAGTTTCTTTGGATCAGAGTGGCAGAAGAGATGGTGTGTTGTCAGCAGAGGCCTCTTCTGCTACTATGCTAATGAGAAAAGTAAGTGTTCTTCATTTGCACAGCAGCATCTCACTCCTGGATGCAAACACTCCGTAAATTCTCAAGCACTTGGATCTCAAGACAGCAATCCTTAACTAACACCCATAAAGGGACCTGCTTGGGAAAGAAACAGGCTTGAGTAAATAATACCTTGCCTATCACCAAACACTCAGATGCCAATTTAGAATTGATGTCCCCATAAACACTAGGATATTGTGGTCAGCATGTCGAAGCCTTATCTTTTATTATGACTAATAACATTATCAAGGTTGAACACTTTGGCATTTAAAAAAAAAAAAGAACCTCAAACTCTTAATAATGTAATTAAAATTTGAAAATAAATTAACGCTGAGAAAGATTTAAACAGCTGACCAATGGCCCAGAAATAGAACTTTCAAGTCCAAACTCTCTAAGAACATGTTTCAAACTTTATTCTGCTGACTCCTGAGAAGTAATCCAGTGGACACCCCTGGAGCCATGGAGTGTTGAGACCCAAATGGTCGCTGCGCCCAAGAGACACCCTTCAGGCAGATGGCAGCCGCAGCAAAGTGTTGACTCAGGCCAGAGCAGCTTCTTAATCAGCCACCACTGACTCAATCAAGCACGACACTCATAAGCTATCCCTAGAAGAACTCCCATCCATGCTCAACACAGTTGCTTAATTCATGAGAAGGAATAGAAAATATAAGCACAAATTGGAGGCAGCCACAAATCTACACAAGCTAAACATTATCATTTTAGGTGAATGCAAACTTTCAAATAGGATATCCTCCTCAGAGTCAGGCTGTCCCAGGAGTAATCCTACAAAGCAAGAGGGAGATCAAGTAAAGCAGAACATCAATTCTTGGCGGGGAGTTGAGGGGGGTCCTTCTGCTCTATGGCCTTGGTACAGAGGCCAATGACCCAGAGTAAATTCTTCCTTTTCCTTCAGATCATTTCCTGTTTCTCCACTCTCCCTTCTTTGCCAGGCTTATTCCTCCCCCAATGCCTGGATATCCAGTCTAAGACATAATCAGATTTTACCCCATTGCCTTTGAACTTCCTGCACCTTTGGCACTAAGGTAGCAGAAAGGACTGCAGTTTTGCTACATGACTTGGGATCCTTAAGATTTGCCCTCAGGCTTTGAGGCAATTGTCTCACCTTGCCTCTCTGCCTACTACTGCAAGTATCACTGACCTTCATCTTGGGTTCACCATCTCGGATTTTTCAGGGCCTTTCCATCTAGGGGTAAAGTGTGAAGCCCTGCTTAGAAATGATAGCAGCATACCTCAAAAGCTGAGTGACAAGTCCCCTACCCAAACTCCAGCCCACTCTCAAATCCAGCGACCACAATTTCTCCCCTGAATTATTGGCTTACAAGCCAGCCAGGTGTGACTTTCTTATTTTAAACCTTCAAACTAATACAACATGTAGGTCTTTTTAAAAATATTCATCCTTTCCCTTGCATTTAAATAAGCGGTTGGCATATCTGAATAGAAAACCAAGTATCGTGTTCATTCATTCAGAATCCTTTACACTCAAGGTGAGAGGGAGAACAAGAGCGAGAGACTAGGAGACTTTTATTGACCATTTCGCTGTCAGGGTGAAATAAAATCTGGTGACCGAAGAAACAACAAAACATTTTAGTGGCCAGTTAGAACAAGGAGAGATACTTTAACAAAAAAGATTCTGGTGTCAAAAAGCACTGTTGCATGGCTCCCTTCTCGCCAGTTACTTCTTATTGTGCCCAAGACGTTTTCTTAGTAAATACAGAGTGTTTGCGTTGTTTTGTTTTTAGCTCAACCAGGGAAGGACAGAATCTTTTTCTTTTCTTTTAATTATTGTCAATCCACTGCCACCCTCCTCATCATCATCATCAAAATGCCCTAATTAAGGAATTCATTCCACATGATACAGAACACAAAGCATCACCCAGACACTGTGGTGCCTGCCTGAACACACCACGAGGACACAGAATTCTTGGGAACCACTTCTTCCCTTCCTGTTTCTAATATTTTTTTCAAGGGAGTGACAGGCAGGATACTGTCTCCTTTCTTTCACATAGGGTCCTTCGCCTTTTATCTCCTTCCTCAGCATCTGATGATCTTCAGCATTACTCTGCTACTTCCCAATGTGACCTCTTGGAAGGAGGATAAAATACTGAGTTTTGATTACTCTCCCTCTAGCATAAATCCCCACCCGGCCAGCAGGAGGGGGGAGAACAGTTTAGCCCACAGGCTGCAGAGGGCATAGGAGGGGATCCTGGGAGCTTAGAATGCCCCCTGCGCTGCTATCCCTCCCCTCAAATGTGAGCTCTGTTGGGCCTGATCATCATGTTTCATTTCTATAACAGCCTTCAAGAGCCTCACGTTTACAGCCACGCTCTCCCTGCTGTAATAATTCCTTCTTTCTGTTATTATAGATCTCTTAACATTCTAATAAATTCTCTGTCTCCGCTGTGCTCCTTTGGCAAAATAACCTTTCCTGTGGCATTTCCCTAGCTTGGCAGTGATGTCTGCCTCGCTGTCGCAGTAGCCTCTCCTTGACTCTTTCCTTGACTCTTGTGGCTCCTCAGGGATGTAACAGCTGCTTCTGTGCTTTTACTTTACATACCAGAGACGATGCCTTCCCTTGGCAGTTGCGTCTCTCTCTAGGGGTACAAAGAGCTTTCCTGTCTTGCAGGCAAGCAGCCCAAAGGGACCTTTCTCATTAAGGGCTACAGCGTACGGATGGCCCCCCACCTGCGAAAAGACTCCAAGAAAGAATCCTGCTTTGAACTGACCTCCCAGGATAGGCGCAGCTACGAGGTAGGATGAGCCAAGGGGATGGATGGTGGTCCTCCTTCGTGTTGCCGGTTCCTTCCATGTTGCCTGTGAGCCGTGGTTGCTCTGCTGGGTTTCATCCTTTCTCTGTTACCTGCTCATTTTCTACTCAGACCTTCTTTCTTGACAGGTCCACATCTTTGCTGTGTTATGCCCTCCCTTCTCTCCTGTCGGCTGCCCCTCTCAAACTAGATACTGCCTCCGCCTGGCTTCTCTCTCTTCATCCCTCCTCTTCTTGGTCTTACTCCATAGGTGAGAGTCTTGTCATCTATTGCAGCACACAATCTAATTCCTCATTCAGAGCCTCTAATTTCATGGCTTTCATTCCCATTCTATTTTGCAACGGATTATCTTCACTTTTTTTCCATGAAATCCAGAAAAAGAAAAATCTGACTGTCGAGTGAAAACTACTTTATTTCCCCATATTCATCTTGCTATCCAAAATAATCTTCCTGTGTGTAGATGCACTGCATATCTTTGGACGATTCCTCAGATATTGGTGACAATGATTACTGAATAGTAATAGTGATAACTGAGGGAGTAGACCTAGGTGGGGGTAAGAAAGATTTATTCTTCACTGTATTCATTTTTAATATATTTTGACATAATATAATATGTAATGCATTTATAGCCTATTACAAAATTTTTAAAGCAATAAAAAATGTCTGACTATGAGAATATAGTGATTTTCAACAAAAATGTATTTGTGCATATATATATATACATATTGTTTCCTGCTTATGGGTAATTTTTATCTTATCACAATTTTATGACAACAGTTTAGAAAACCTTTAACTAACTTGTGAAAAAGAGAAAAACCATGCTAAGGTTAATATTAACCACTTATGTCACCCTTTGACTCCAAGTTTTTGTCAACATTCATCCTTTTATGTTTCTACAGTATCTTAACCCTTATTTTGTTAAATGACCTAGGTCTTCATTATATGATTTCAAATTTTTTTAATTTAAACTTTTCTATAGAATCATTTATAGATATATATAACACAGATGTATGCACTGGGTATGTTTCTAAGTTATTTTTACTATTCAGCTCTGATGGTGCCTTATTCAGATAAAAATTTATATGACAAATCTAAATCCATTTCCCTAGACTTTTTTTTATACAAATGTGTTTTTAAGAAACCAAGAATGACAATGTCTATTAATAAGTACTAAGCAGGAATGTAGGTTTCGTATACAGCACATATCTTTGTCTTCCCCTAATGGCCAGATAATAAAAATGTTTTCAGGAACATTCATTTCGAGTTGATTCATTTAAAGTAAAAAAATTACTCAGGATAGATGCCTGACTGGCCTGTTTTGTGAATCAGAATGTAGAGTTTGTTTACTTCTTCTTTTCTTTGGCCCATTGAATCCAAGTCATTATCATGGTCTGTGGATTCTTCTTCTACAATATCCTTTGGACCTTTTCCTTCTTATTTATTCCCACAGTCATCACAATAGTTAAGTCCTTATCACTTCACCCAGAGGATTAGTTAAATAGCCTTCTAGTTGGTCTTCCATCTCCAATTTCTCCCTATTTCAATCCCTTCTATACACAACTAGTGAGTCTCCCATTCCTTTTGCTAGAATTTACAGTGGCTTCCTATTGCCTACATTGTAAGTCTGCACTCCTAGTTTCATCAACTCTTCTCTGGCCCTCAAGCCTTTAGCTTCATCGGTTATTGTTCTCCAGTCAAGTTTACCTGCCTACCTTCCCCATACACGATGGTCACATTCCTCATCTTTTGCACGTGGTTTTCCCTTCCTAAACTGTCCAACTCCCTCCACCAGTTTTCAAGAACTCCTTTTAAAATCCAAACAGAACAGCATGACCTCAACAAGCTTCCCTGCTTACCCTAGGCAACAAGTGCTCCCTGTCTCCTCTCAACATCCAGCTGTTATCAAATGCTCTTTCTTTATAATGTTTCCACTTCAAGTGTGTATGTTGTCTCCATAACTGATGCATTATTCTCTGAAGTCAGGAATTTGGGGTTGCTTTTTTCCTGTAAACTTTTATCAAATAAATGTCTGATGAATGAATAGGTAATCAAATGAATGCACATGGACATGAATTCTGGACTCAAATAGCTGTCAACATTGGATATACAAAATTGCTAAAGGGAAAATCTCTTTGAGTATTTTGGTCTTTTTTCAAAATATTAAGCAGCCAGACAATCCTAAGCTTTCAACATGACTCTGTAACATGACTCACAAGTTCCCCCCACCGTGAGCCCCCTAATAGGATTCATGGAAATTTTAGTGAAGGTGATAAATTAACTCACTAATTTTTCTCTAGTTTACAGCTACTAATCCTGCTGAAGCCAGAGACTGGGTGGATCAAATAAGTTTCTTGTTAAAGGGTAAGTGTCATTATTATAGAAACAATACTTGAGTGGGTTTGCAGTTGAAGTTCTATGGCATAAATATAATCCACAGGCTTCAATACGTGTTTCTTTCTACCTGTTCCCCCTTTTACCCTCCCTACCACATCCCTTATATCAGCGGTTCTCAACCTGTGGGTCGCGACCCCTTTGGCGGTCGAACGACCCTTTCACAGGGGTCGCCTAAGACCATCCTGCATATCAGATATTTACATGACGATTCATAACAGTAGCAACATTACAGTTATGAAGTAGCAACGAAAATAATTTTATGGTTGGGTCACAACATGAATTGTTTAAAGGGCCAGAAGGTTGAGAACCACTGCCTTATATTATAATAACAAATTGAGCCCTATGTAAATGAGAAGATAAAGAAACCATCAACCTGGAGATGATATCTTTCTAGCTCATCCACCTCCCTATAGACAAGTCTGTAATATTCATAATCACTAGAAAAGGAGATGTTGATAACCAGCTCAGCTCAATTTCGTGTTTCATGATATCAAACTTAAGTCATCTAGATGCAATTTAGATCCAAAATCTTCTTTATTTATTTTTTTTATTGTTTTATTGCTTAAAGTATTACAAAGAGTATTACATATGTCTCCTTTTTTTTCCCCGCCCTTGACAATCCCCTGGCCTCCCCTACACCCCAGTGTCTTATGTCCATTGGATATGCTTATATGCATGCATACAAGTCCTTCGGTTGATCTCTTACCCCCTCCTACCTGCCCCCCAACCCTCCCCGGCCTTCCTGCTGCAGTTTGACAATCTGTTTGAGGCAGCTTCAAAATCTTCTTGTTTTGGTCTTAGTAAGAAGAAAAAACCTAAACTCAACTAGGTGGCCTTCAACAACATTGGACATTACAAACAAATTGCTACTCCCAACCCACAATAAAATGCTCCTTGCTTTATGACTGGAAGAGTCCTGCCTGAAGATGTTAAATGACTGCTCTCAGAGTACCCTCTGCTGGCCAGCCTGCAGGCACAGCAATGACCGTGGCCCAGGAGGCCTTGTCTGGGAGTGGCCTGGCAGGTAGAAGTAGCCAACCTTCAGATGACCCTCATAATGGTGTACATCATGGCAGGACCCTGACTCCACAGACAGAAACATCAACTTTGTATATGGCCCACAACCTAGGGAGAAGTACGTCAACCTAAAAGCATCAAGCCTTTCATCTCTGTGTTGTTGTTTTTAATCTGCTATAAGATTTTATTGTTGATAAAAAGAAGGAAGCACCAGAGCTTTAATTACAAGAATTGCCTATTTTACTCAGTTTATGCTTTTGCTATCACAAAAACAAACTATTGCCTCTACCAAGAGCATCACGTATAATAGACTGGAACTAGGCAAACATGAACATTGATGGCGAGACTACAGGGTACACTCTCATCTAGGTGCCTTAGATTTATGCATGTAATATACCCCTAAGTGTGTAAACCTCAATAAAACTCAAAGCAGCTTTATTGAGCTGTACCCTGTGGTACTTTCAGAATTCCACATTGAAGAAATTATTCATTCCATTTTATTTTAAAACAAACAAAATAATAACATATGGTTTAAGCCACAAATGTGTCTTTGATCCCTTCCTCATATGAGGTGGCACCAGGATTCAGATGGAAATTGTTTCAAAATCTTTATTAAAAGCCTAATCAAGCCAAACAGTTTTATTGTGTTTTGAAATGAACATCGGATGTCTCTCCATCCTTTCCTTCCCTAGAGGACCCTGACTGCACTCGCCCATCCTGCAGAGGTCCCTCAGCAGGGTTTCGGAGAGCACTCTGTACTACACATCAGAGAATGAACCTTCCCAGTTCCCTATTAAAATCAAAATCCAATCTCCCTCCCCTGCCCTGGGCTCCCCAGTGCTGTGTAATGGCTCAACATCTCCTATGCCGTGACCCACTTTAAGGTCAGCCAGACTGTACAGTTGCAAAAGGACATGGTAACCACAACACTAAGCCATTCCATTTGGTCTTGTATTGCTGTTATATTTTTTCCATATCCCGCTTTCTGTTCCTCTCCCACTTTTGCCTTTCTCTATAAACAAGCTTGTCCTGAAATTCTGCAGTGAGATCATGGGGGAGATGAGCTTCTGACAGCTCCGATGCCCTACGGAAGCCACCGTCGTTCCTCCAGCTCTGTGCGCCCTGGAGAGCCACAGGCCGTCACTCACCCTTCCAGTTTTCTACTTGACGAGCAGTGCGTGGCCTGCTGGCATTTCCTCTTCTGGCCTATTTTCTTCCCTTTACCTCGTGCGCTCATTCGCACACCCATACTTGCCAGGGCTGCTTCATCCTGATCAAGTTTTATTGCAAGGAAGGATTTATGTTGATGGTTTAAACCTGATGCAGTGCTAGTCTGGCCTTTTCTGTAGATTTCCTGCCACCAAGGCCCACATTAGAAATAATAGCACTTAACCTAGCGTTTCATTTTCTTTTGACATGTTTTATTCTCAGTCCGCCGCCTCCTTCTCCCTCTTTCCTCCCCTGCCTTATTCTTTGCTTTTTCTCCTTATCTTGATTCATCCTCATCTCCACCTTGGCAGATCTGAGTTCCTTAACCATTCCATGTGAAGAGGAGGAAGAGGCGGAGGGAGAGGACGAGATGTATGATGATATCGATGGCCTTGACTCCCAAAATTCCGGTCCCCAGCGCAGACCCATTATCTTGCCTGGGAGTCTAGGACTGAAACAGCCCTCAGAGGAGAAAGAAGAAGAAGAAGAAGATATTTACGAAGTCTTACCAGGTGAGAAACTTCATCTTCTAGTTATCTTCCTCGAGCTTCAGAAACTCCTGACCTGGTAGAAGAATATAAACTCTGGAAACTTCAGAGGTAGCCAATGCTCTAAAGGAGTGTGATTAGAAGCTCTCCCTTGCTCTGAGAGCAAGATGAATTGACCAGGGAGGGTCTTTCATCTGTCCCACGCGAAGTAATTTATTCCATATGTCAACAAAGTGAAAGAGCTAAGAGTATTTATGTTGGTTTTCATTGGTTTACTGTGAGTTTGGGGGTGGATCATCAAAACTCTCTCGTTTCAACTTCTTTTCTCTGAGAATTGTGAGAATAATGGAAAGTTGCCTCAAAGTGATGGATAGAGTAAAAGTCTGAAGGAATCTAGATAAATGCTGACAAACCTTTTCTGTAACCCAGGAAAGCCCTGATGGAGCACAACTCCTTATTACTTAGTTCAGATATAACCTGAGTCCAATTGTGTCTCTTACAGATAACCCTCACGTGTCCCCCCCTGCCCACCCTTACAGCAGGTCGACTGTCCATATTTCTTCCCTGCCAAAGGCATGATAACTGGCATCTCAAAAAAAAATGTAGAGTCATCACTGCTTCTGCAGAGCCCCTTCCTGTGGGGATCACAGCAGCTGTTGAACAGTGCAGAGCACAGTGGGGGTCAGACTGTAGCAAACCGAAGCCGGAGCCTTTTAATTGTGAGGTAGTTAGGCGGCAGGAATGCTGAATCTTCAAGTCCATTCAGAAAGATGGCTCCTGTGGAAATTTGCCAGGCTCTGCTGAGAAATTCAAGTTAAGCCTAAATTTATAACAATTTAAACTTCAATCCCAGACAAACTTAGGAACTAAGGTGAGTCTAACAGTGGATCCCCTGAAGGCAAGGCTGGTTGCTAAAAGCACCCTGAGTAAGCAACTTGTATTTCAGAGCTTCCTAAGACGAGGCTCGAACCCTGTCAACGCTGCGTTTGTCCCTCCCTGGGGGAGAAGCCACGACACTGCTTCCTGAGTCAAGGATCAGGGCTGTGGCCACACATTTTTTCCTCTCTGGGACCTCACCCACCCACCCGCCAGCCACCAAGCAAAGTCTACTTCTTCTCCTAGCACTTCCAGCCTCTGCCAGTCCCAACTTCCCCAGCCTTTTTGTTGTGTTTTATTATGCAAATGATATCTTGGTTGAGGTCGAGCCATTTCTTGTGTCTGAAGTTAAAAAAAAAATGATAATTTCCTCAGCAAGTCATCGTCGTTAATGAAGTTTTACAAAAACAGATACAACCAAAGGAAAATAAAATTTCACAGGTGATAAATTTTTCCAATTTCCCTGGCAGAATTCGATAGGATTGTTAAATTAAGAGTGAAGGTGTCTGTTAGAAAGCAACGAGCAGTGATGGGTAATTTTATAGAGTGGAAAATTGAATCAAATTGCTACATTAAAACACAGCTCCTCTGAGAATCTTCCCTTTCACAGTCTGCTCCATCGCAACAGCAGGGTGCAGAAATGGATCTAATTCACAACGCTCCCTGAAAGGAGATGTACTCCCCGACTTGGCCAGAGTCTTCCTGGTGAGCTCATTTTCCACTCACTCCTGCCCAGGCTTGGGGAAATATCCGGGTGACGCTCTGCTTTGGGTTACAGCTGTGGAGGAGCGCTCGGAGAAAACCCCCTGGATCACTCAGCCTCCGGGGAGCAAGGAAGGGCCTTTTCTTTTCTTTTCTTTTTTAAATATATTTTATTGATTTTTACTGAGAGGAAGGGAGAGGGATAGTTAGAAACATCAATGAGAGAGAAACGTCGATCAGCTGCCTCCTGCACACTCCCCACTGGGGATGTGCCTGCAACCAAGGTACATGCCCTTGACCGGAATCGAACCTGGGACCCTTGAGTCCGCAGGCCGATGCTCTATCCACTGAGCCAAACCGGTCAGGGCAAGAAGGACCTTTTCATGCACCGTGTTTAGTTCTCAAAGGAGCCAGGGAGGAGGGGGCTGATGGTCAGAGAGGGGGAGCAAAGAAGAGCTAAGGGACAGAAACCTCAGAAAATAAGATGAGTTTTGGCTCATCACCTTACCCCAGGTGGGCCAGTGAATGTATGATTGACTTCTTAACCATCATCCCTCCCCTGCCTTTGAAATCCCTACCCTTCGCCAGTGTGGCACTGCCCAGCTACCAGGGCCTTCCCCCCAAAAATGGCACCAGTCTGGATGTTGGCGTGGACTCCAAGGGCATGGAGACTGGTCTGCTGGCTCAAGAAAAGCCACTCGCCCTCTGCTCACAAGTGTCCCTCGGGAGCGAGGACAGCTGCGCTGTAGGAGCGCCAGGGTCTCTTTCTGCGGATGAGGGAAACAGTAGCTGACTTGTTTATAAGCTTCCAAAGGACAGTGCCGTACACAGCGAACAGGTTCTTTCCCAAAAGCCTCTTTCTATCCATCAGAGTTTCCAGAGATGGCATTAGAGGTGAAAATATATTGGCATTTAACTAGACTGGGAATATCTCCGCCATCAGTCTCCATCTACCCCACTCAGATTGTTGCTTCGGAAATCGCTGTTAGTTTTGCATGTGCCACACTACCCGTCCTGGAGGAACTGGGAGGGAGAGGGAGGGGCCCACCATTGTCTCCCCTCTGCCGGCATCTCCCAAGACCGCCTGCCAAGCAGCAGCATGTGAGGGACAGCTTGGTATCTCAGACACAAGTACTGGCTCTACGTCAGGTTGGACCTGCTCTGCCACCTGCTAGCTGTGAGGCCTGAAGCGAGCTATTTGCCCTTTCCCTGTGTGGCTTCCCCATGTGTAGAATGGCGATAGCAATCGGAGCTATCAAAGAGGGATGCCATGAGAAGTCTAGAATCAATGTGTGTCAAACACTGAGGGCAGAGCCCTGGCATACAGTGAGCACTCGATAAATGCTGCCTATTGCTAATTTGGTGGTATTTTTATTTTATTTTATTGGGTTTTTTACAGAGAGGAAGGGAGAGGGATAGAGAGAGAGCCAGAAACATTGATGAGAGAGAAACATCGATCAGCTGCCTCCTGCACACTCCCCACTGGGGATGTGCCTGCAACCAAGGTACATGCCCTTGACCGGAATCGAACCTGGGACCCCTCAGTCCGCAGGCCGACGCTCTATCCACTGAGCCACACCGGTTAGGGCTAATTTGGTGGTATTTAAATAGGAAGTGTTTCTTCCTTGAAGAGTTGGGGGTGGCTAGTTCCCCACCTCCACCAACCAAATCTGAGACAGTCCCGTTGGACATCGTCAGCACTAGGTAGGAAGCAGGTGACACTGAAAACCCTGAGCAGGTGGAATGTGGCGCACACCTTCTGCTCTGGCCCATGCTCATTGCGAGGACAGGTGCTGGGTGGAGGGACAGCCGACAGTAGCGTTGGATTGCGCTAACATCGCATACCATCAATAGTCAGCTGGCGTGCACCGCTCACATTTGTCTCATTATAATAAGTCGGTGAGCTTTGTGGCGACGATTTAGCGTTGATGGTTCTGTCTCCCTCCTCTTTGGGATGGGGCCTTACACCAGCCTCATGGTCTCTGTGT